AACCTAGATATCTGGTTCATGAAGCTAGATATCTGATTTATAAACCTGGATATCTGATTTTTAAACCTAGTTTATAAACCTGGATGTCTGATTTATGAACCTAGATATCTGGTTCATGAAGCTAGATATCTGGTTAATGAACCTAGATATCTCATTTTTAAACCTAGATATCTGGTTTATGAACCTAGATATCTGGTTAATGAACCTGGATATCTGATTTATAAACATGGATATCTGATTTATAAACATGGATATCTGATTTATAAACCTAGTTTTTGAACCTAGATATCTGATTTATGAACCTAGATATCTGGTTCATGAAGCTAGATATCTGATTTATAAACCTGGATATCTGATTTTTAAACCTAGTTTATAAACCTGGATGTCTGATTTTTGAACCTAGATATCTGATTTATTAACCTAGATATATGGTTAATGAACCTGGATATTTGATTTATAAACATGGATATCTGATTTATAAACCTGGATATCTGATTTTTAAACCTAGTTTATGAACCTGGATGTCTGATTTTTGAACCTAGATATCTGATTTTTGAACCTAGATATCTGATTTATAAACCTAGATATCTGGTTTATGAACCTAGATATCTGGTTTATGAACCTAGATATCTGGTTTATGAACAGCAATTCTTGTATTCTACCATTAATATGAAAAATACATCATGTGACCCTAGTGTCACTCATTTGTCTATTATCATTTTATCTGTAGATTTTTCATGATGGCAGTTGGGGGACAGTCTGCAATGATTTCTGGGAGATGGATGCTGCCAATATTTCCTGTCGTCAACTCAATTTGGGTGAATATTTTTTGTCTGATTGCAGGATCATGCATACTTTAGGAGTTGAAAAAAATCAAGCAGACTTTATGTTCTTGAAACTACTTGTTGCTATTTGCAGCCAAGAATCTTTAATTATTACCGGTAACTCTGAACACCTACATGTATACATTTTTGTCACCGTTTTTCAATGATTTTGATCACTAGTAGCCAATGAGAAATTATTTCCATCTGGCTGAAAATTAAAAAAAGAAATATAGAAAAATTTTCACTCATGTGCAAATATACTTAGCAAGAAAATTTTGATCTAAAAAGTGATGATATTCGAAGGGTAAAATGCGATTTACTTTTGCAGGTCATGTGATTGGTTTACTTGAACTTGGAGGTACTGATGGAATTGTGGGAGGAAATGAGCGCATCTGGTTAGACAATGTCATGTGTAATGGTGACGAGACTCGCATAGAAGACTGTCAACACAAAGATTGGGGTGATAATAATTGTAATCATAACAAAGATGTGGCAATAAGATGTTCAGGTAATATAGTTTTACCGTTTCACTACCAGTTCCCTATTTTCATCATAAATTCACTTTCCTTCAGAAGATTGGGAAAAAATGTCCAAATTTAATTTAATCAAAACAAATTTTGTCTATTTATCTAAGAAAAAAATGCAGAAAAATTTGGGCGAGAAAAGTGGTGAAAAGGTTATTATGAAGCGGTTAATATTGATTTCATGTTTGTCGTCATCGTATGCATCTACTTTAATAATTTTATTTTAATAAAGGTATTGTCATAAAGGGGGGCATTGATTTCCATAGATATAAGCAAATACATTCAATTTTCAAATTTATTAACAAGTAGTCAATCGTCATTACATGATCCCACAAAAAACTAAACATGAAAATGACCAGAAACTTGTTTGGGGGATCTGAATTGTCGCCTTGTTCTCATCAATTATCTTAACCTTTCGTATATGAACATTGAAATATTAGGGATACAAAATCACAGTTGAGTCAAAGTACAAGTAGAATTTGATATGTCGAAAAAACCTGTCAACAAACAATATGTTTTCTGATTGGTCTGACTGTTTGGGGTGAATAGCCAATCAGACACAACTTTCTATTGCATTGAAATGCTTAATTGTCAAGGATCCATGAATTGTGAGAAGTCAGAGGTTAATCATATTGTTGTTGATTATATCCTGTATTTAACTCTAAACTCTTTACCCTGACCTATTTACATACATTGTAGTACCAGTACAAATAATATTTTATGTGTCTAAAAATAATAAATAAAAAAACTCATGCATACTACCCTATAAAATAGAGTTTGTTAAGACATTCTCGTTGTTTGGAAACTCAAGCAAATGTAACAACTACAGATAAAAATGTGTGATATGAATTCACACACCACGTGGCCAGGATTTTACAACCCAGATTACTTAGTAAACAAGCCAGTCAGCAGTTTGAATGTATGTTTTCATGTTCTTCAGGGCCTGGTATTCGCGAGTGTCGTATAACTTGTCCAGAAGGTTTCTATTCCAATGATGAAGATCACACATGCCATCCATGTTTTGGTAACTGTGCTCGTTGTTCTGGTTCATCATACCATTGCACTGCATGTGTGGAGGGCACATACTTCAATGGTACAACGTGTGTTGAAGAGTGTAACCATGGTTACCATCCCAATCACCAACAGCAGACTTGTGAACCATGTGATGATATCTGTGCAAGTTGCAGATTTGATAAGTCAACTTGTACAAGTTGTAATTGGCCACTCTATTTGCAAAGTAAGTCAGTAAATTGAAATTAAACATGTTGCACGTTGGTGTTATTGGTATTATTTCCATTTTCAAGGTCATAATTTATAATCTTATTATGAAAGATATATTTAGCTACTTTGAATGCCATCAATGCAATCTCTATGAATTGTGAACCCTGCATTGTGTTAAACAAAAGAATGAGGTTTCAGTTTCCATACTCATTCCTGATACCAAAATTAAAATCACCTAAATATATTCTTTTCTTCAATAGACATTGATGATGTTTTTGTTTTTTAAAGCGTGATGGCCGTCGCA